TGTTCAAGTCCCCCTATCATGATGAATGAAAACAATCTGCGTGTTGATGGAATGTACTTTCTTTCTATTGACGAACACGTCCTCATCTTTTGATGGCGCAATTATTTTTATGTGCGTCCCGTCAATAGCACCGACCACACCGGGCATACCTGCATTGCCATGAAGTTGGCTTTGATCCTGTGTAGTTGTTGATTGTCCAAAGGAAACCGGATAAACTGTTGGATGATATGTGGTCTAGAGAGCGCGTTGTTGGTTTGGTTTATGGCACGGCTGACTGATGGTTGCGATATTCCTAAATCGTCGGCATTGCAAAGTTGCATTTTCCCTGTTGCTAAATATCGTAGTGTTGCCAAACATTTTATTTCCGGACTAATCGGGTTATTCCTGTTAGTCGGGGATGTTATTGCATCCCGCACTAATTCCACAACAAGTTTGATACCCTCACGATTTAGCCTATATCTCTTGATCAATTCACAGTCTTCCATTGTCTCCAAAACATTTCGTCTCTCAGCCATTTTCAGATTCTTTGTGAATAGGTCTTACTGAGTTAGGAGTCCTCTCGAGGACTTTTAAGCTCTCCCAGACTTAGGTGCTACTTTTAGGCCTAAAATACTTTGTGAATTGCTCTTAGTGAATAAAATTAGGAGTCCTAAATTTAAGACTGACACGCCCATTATGTTTAGGAGTTTCTCCTAAATTCGCCAGTTAGGAGCTACTTTTAGCCCTAAGATCCTTTGTGAATACGGCCCCAGGTCTGTGGTTGAGACACATTGAAGAGACGGATCACGTTTTGTTCTACACATTAAATCATCAGCAGTGACCCCACTGGTGATTTCTGAAGAGTGGACGTGTCTGAGAAACGATGGTTGTTACCAAGTGGCTGAATAGGACTACAGAAGTCGTGGAGGCCGTTGTACGTCATGACGCCGAACACGTAAACACTCCTCTAAGTTAGTTTCTGTTCTGCTTGAAAGCAAGTCCCTGCCTCCTGCAGACTGTTCAAACAAACGCTTCAACTCGTACCATCTAGAATCTGTGTGTTTGAATATGGATCTGAAGTCGGCGTGACGTTGAAGCAGCGACCCTGCTGTAGCTCCTTTATAGCATCACGTTAGCATTTAGCTTCTGGAGATTAGATTTATGATTAGAAAATTATAAAAGTAGACATGTGGAGATTATCCAGCTGAGCAAAACGTGATCCGTCTCTTCAATGTGTTTCAACCACAGACCTGATTTACAGCTACTTTCCTAAATCCTATGGAGAGATCTCATTGCTTTTTGATGAAGGATCCGGAAGGAGTTCACTTCCGGGTTTTAGGACGCGTCACTGCGGTTCTCTATTCCCACGGCGCCTGCGCTAAAGCCACAGTGATGGGCAACCTGTTGAGAGACGCCGTCGAGGAACAGTTTTTAACCGTACACGTGCATACAAATCGTAAAAGTACCTTTTAAGTTATGAAGTTATGAGCATTATCAAGACAGAAAGAATACCTACGTTGTTATTTTATTTTATTTGAGTTTTGCCTATTTCTTTTGAATAATGTAAAGGCCTATTTTCTTTGCTGCATGTGCAAAAGTTTGTTATTTTATTTTGAGCAAACACATCGCAACGTCTTCTAAACCATCGGAGGCCGAGCAACACTTCAAACTGAGAGTAATTTAAAGGAAAGAAACTAGTTAGAACTTTCTGTTTCAGGCGTCTAGTGTCTCGATGGAAAGTCAAGGAAGGAAGCCACGACACTGTTTCTCTGTTGTTCATAAAGCATACAGCATCAGAGCACGGTGCAGAGTCTCGAGATGAGTCCCTCCTTCTTATTAAACATCCATGTTGTAGTCCTCTGTATAGAAAACTGTAGTTTCCATAGTTTCCCCACAGCAGCAGACGCACATTTATGACATCATAAACACGTCAGATAGAAAGTGCAGTCGATTCTCTAAAGTCTCTTCTCCTAAGTCCTTTTGAATTCTCCTATCCGCTATCCCTTAACCCCGTGACCTTTCACTCAGAGGTCAAGGAATAGACGATAGGGGTGCCCATTACGTCGATCGCAAAGGTAGTGTGGGTAGATTGCATGGCATTGAAAAAATAAAAAGAATGTTGATGATCGGCCAACTTTAAAAACTGTTTTTTAAAAGTTGGCCTATCATCCATCCTTACTATGGTATTTGCCACTTGATTGACGTACAGGTAAGCCAGTCTGAGTTGTATTGTGCCATACAGGTTCATGATCAGCCTCAGAGAGAAACACCTGCTCACCTGGCAGAGCTGTTAGCCTCACCTGCTCAGGTAGAGAGGAGCTGTGATTGGTTCATTCTGTTCTGACAGAGAGGGGAAGCCCCGCCCCTTCCTGTGTCCATGGGAACTTATTTCTGAGGAAACGTACGGTAGCGAGAGACGAACAGTTTATCTTTCAGAGACTCAGACTGTGTTAAACATGGAGCACTTCAAACAGGACCAGGAAGGACTGCTCTCTCTCCGCTGAGCATCAATATGTTTCTGTGATAAGGTCTCATGTTGGTCCACAGGAAGGGGCGGGGCTTCCCCTCTGTGAACTCTCTTCTTTTATTGATGACTCTCCTGTTTCTGTTCAGAGCCTGTCAGGCTAGAGGGAGGATCCAGTCGCTGTGAGGGAGACCTGGAGCTGAGAGGTGAGGGAGACCTGGAGCTGAGAGGTGAGGGAGACCTGGAGCTGAGAGGTGAGGGAGAATGGAGACCAGTGTATATTTATGGAGACTGAGAGATCTCGACTGTTGCTGTGCTATTTCCTAGTTTGACTCGATAACTAATATAAAGAAACTGGATTCTATAAAATATTATTTATTGGTATCTTATAACTTGCGTAGAGGGAAACAAAAGGAACACTAAAAAGGTGTTTCTGTAATTCAGCTTTTAGTGATATTTTTTATTTGGCATGAACAGAATATTTTTACATTTTCTTTTCAGGTTAGAAATTAAATTCATTTCTTGCACATAAATTCATTTGACTCCAGAAATGAAACAAAAAAAAAGCGAAGTATCTTCTGCTTCCCCGCTCAGAAGTCTTCCTGTCCTTAACGAGCTTCCTGTCCTTAACGAGCTTCCTGTCCTTAACGAGCTTCCTGTTTGTGGTTAAAGTCTTTAACGTCGTGCAGTATTCATCCTTTAATGACGGCGATCGGTCGCAGTTTGATCGCCTTCTGACTGATTCCTGCGTCGTGACACGTGTTCACAACGTCCGTCACGTTCTTGTACGATTCAGGAGCCTGAAGGAAACACGGGAACACAATATTTTAGTGTTTGCATAGTATGGAAGAGGATTAATGCCAAAGAGATGAAAAAAAAGAGAAAAATATTGAGAAACAACAAAGAAATCCATTGTTGTTTGCAACGTACGGAAGCCAATTCACGCCAAAGTGTAAAAAACAAAAAGATATTCAGAGGGAAGTTAAAAAAATTAAATGCTTGATTGTTTGAACAATATGGAAGCCAATTAGTGCCAACGTGATGAAAAATAAAAGATTATTGAAAATAAATAACAAATCTGTCAATAAGAAATGTATACTGAAATTAAACTAATAACAATTTTAAAAAGCGTGGATAATGTCTAAGATTAAAATAACAAATATATGAGAAGGGTTAGGTGAGGATAAAGAGTTAGAAAATCACATTTCCGTAAAAAAAACAAACATTTTAAATAGAAACTAGTATAATATATATATACTGTATATAAAATTACAAATATGAAATTATGATATTTGATTAAATTACAAAAAAATTCAACAAAAGATTATTTTCTTGAAAACCAAACAGTTACAGACAGAAGAGGTTTAGTGCCAATTTTGAGTCGCAAAAATAATATCAAAATGTTTTCCCGAAATGGTAGAGGTGACAAAGTCGCCGCCACAACCCAAACTAAGAATAACCCAATAATTATTGAATTACTGATGTAAAAAATAACCCCTCCTCACCTCCTCCATGACCAGTTTTGGCGAGGCGACCCTGATGGCGATTCCTTGATCGGCGAGTTTGTCCAAAACGTCCTGGAAGCCGATGTTTCTGCGAGATTTCGCCCGGGACAGAGCGCGACCCTGAACACAACACAGGTACAGATCAATTAATTATTAAAATATACTAGAATACAAATGTACAAGAATTAAAAGTAGAACATTTAAGAGAGAAAACAACAAATATTTCCTGAAAAAAAATGCCATTATTATCCGAGTTTTTTTAAATTCCAAATATCAAATTTATGAGAAAGCAAATTCATTAAATTAGTTAAATCTCGTACGGCTCCGTGACAGGTGGTCCCGAAGGTCTCCGTCATGCCCTTCTCTGTGCCGGTCAGGACGTAGCTGCAGGTTCCCATCGTTCCTCCAATCAGAACCGGCTGTCCGGTGAGCTGAAACACAAACAGAAACAAAACAGAAATGAACCAATTAACTCTCCGTCAGCTCGTTAAGATGCTTGTTAAGACCCTGGTTAACAGAAACATACATTTACCAATTAACTCTACGTTGGCTCGTTAAGACCCTCGTTAAGACCCTCGTTTAGACCCTTGTTTAGAGACTCGTTACGACGCTTGTTAAGACCCTCGCTAACAGGAACATCAATTCACCAATTAACTCTACGTTAACTCGTTAAGCCCCTCGTTAAGCCCCTCGTTGTTAAGCCCCTCGTTAAGCCCCTCATTAAAACACTTGTTCAGACTCCCGTTAAGACCCTCGTTAAGACCCCTCCTTAAGATACTTAAGACCCTCGTCATTAAGACCCTCGTTAAGACACTCTTCGTAAAGACACTCGTCGTTAAGACGCTCGTTTTAGACACTCGTTAACACCCTCGTTAACACCCTTGTTCAGACACTCGTTAAGACCCTGAGGAAGACACTCGTTAGCACACTCGTGAAACAGAATCAAATTCACA